TCTGTTACAGAGAGGCTTTTTTCCCCCCAGAAAGCCATATTTACAGCCTGCCAGGAAATACTACTGGGAGAAAATGTCTCGCTGAAACAATTTGTGATATATTTCCATAAAACCTTACAGAATTGTAAGGGTCAAACAAAATGTTTTCAAGTCGCGTTTCTAAAAAAAATACAAACCAGAAAGATACCGTCAATCAAAATCGTTTTAAAATTCAGCATATTATGCTCGGACACTCAATATTGAAGCTTTCACACACTTACGATCACCATCACGAAATGCACTTCGCTTTAAAATGGGGACCTTCAAGAATTAGCCGGTAATTTGAGCACAAAACCCTCTGAATGGCACACGCTTTGAACCCTGGCATGTGCTGAGCATTTAAAATGACACAGCCGGTTAGGGCTTCACAGTGCAGAAACTAATTAGATTGTCCATAATGGATTCCATCTCACTTTATATGATGTGACTTGACAGCTGCCAAAGCTGTTGTGAAGTATGAAAAAATTTGTGTGTGTGTTTGAGTGTAATAATTCGGCCCCTCATTTCTGGCTTTCCAGATATGTTGTGTGTGATTCTAAAATCCCAGTCAGTCAATGGCCAGCTCTCCGTAGAGGTCAAATCCATTTGCGCCTCTTGCAGGTGGCATCACACCAAGATGACCCCCGGGTCAGACCGGCACCGAAAACAGCCTTTTAAAAGCCATCAGAAATCCCAAGTCACATGCACAAACTCAAGGATGTTATGTCAACACAAATGCACAGTAAAAGTAAAGGTGGGCTGGGGTGAAATAATGCCACTGGTTCGCCTAGTGACTGATGCACATGGTCCAGATTTTGGGCCGTGGTGCTCATGATCAGATTGAACAGATTCTGGTGGCATGAAGATGCTATTTCTATTCAATTGCTTTGGTGATCTTTTGTCAGTCAGCTTTTAAAGTTTATAATTTAGAGTGTGACAACGAATGTTTCACTGTTCGCATTCTACTAAGCCTCAAATACACAACCAAACCAATCACTTCACAAGTGGGCCATTTAACATTAACATTTGTTGGATGGTAAAAATCCTATAAATGGTCACAAAATGTTTTACTAAAAGGCTTAATGGTTGCTTAGAAAAGCAAAACAATGTCTCCACAACAAATTTGCAACGATGACCAGAGAAAACAAGAGTTAAGAGAAAAAGCAATGCAGTACTAAGAAGGCACAAGTACTTCTCCTAGCAACTTAAATGAAGACCTGCAATCTCTCTCAAACTGTGAGCCAAACTAGGTTTCAAAAAGCAACATGGCATCATGACTTTGCGTAAACATACACGCCAATTTCAAGTCAAGTGGCGTGTTATCGATACGCATTTTGAGTGTATGTCCACGCCGAAACGAACCGTCATGTCTACGCCGTTAAACGTCTGAGTGATTCCACGTGTACGTACACGCCGTTAAATGTCCGAGCGAAACGAAGCAAAATGTAGATCTACATCTGGGAGCGAAAATTTTTTTTCCTAGGATGGTAGGGGAAGACTCATACATGTTATTAACCCCAGTGACGGGTAGGTTTAGGGACGGGGTTGGGGTAGGTCATATATTTATATAGACAGTAATGTAACATGCTGAAAAGTGATTGTGTGTTGATAGCAAGGCAAAAATGGAAATACGAATTGGCGTGTCATACATACGCCATTTTATGAGATCAGTCTGCAAAAAGCATCACCAATGACAAAAAAAATACAATCTAACTATTTCACAGACGTGGCTTAAGCCAAGTCCCAGACTAAAATGATGCTAACTGAAAGCAAACTGTACTGACATACCATTATTTTGTCTCAAGATGTACACCAGGACGTTTAGAAAAGCTACTTAAATGCCCTATTTGAACCTAATCCTGGCTTAATCTAAGCCCTGTCTGTGAAACCAGACCAATAGTTTTCAGATTGCTCCCGTTATTTTGCATGCAGAAAGTAGAAATAATTTCCTGGCCTAAAGCCATCAATCATACAGAGTGTTGCAAAATATACGTCTGCCCACAGGAACTTCTACGGCAATGTCTGCTTGCAGAAAAAATTACTTCAAACATTAAGGGAGACATTAGTCTGATTCTTCAGTTGAGTCAAATGAAGAAGGTTGTGGTTTATTTTACTAGGTGTCACAATCCAATCTGTAAAGGTCAGAGTAAAGTTGGTCTGCACTGGGTTTTGGCCAGGTTTTAGTCTTAAGTTTCCAAGAGGCTAAAATAGATGAAGTGGATCTGTAAATGGCTTGTTTCCTAGCCACTATTGACAGCACAGGTTTGGGGAAGTTATGGAAAAACTTGACTGCGACACTACAGGGAATCTATAATAGCAGTCAGTGGGTGGTTGACAGAAAGCATGCAGCAGAGCAGGACCGTCGTAATGAGCAATGCATTAAATATAAAGGTCTGTGAGACATTATGCAGAGGAGAATGGCCATTAACATCCTTACTATTTGGCTTGAAGCAAAAAGGAGATGTCAGCAAAACTCCATATTTTCAAACGTTGACCCCATCATTACTGTTAAATCTGCAGAAAACCATCTCCTCTTCAGGTCATTTTGAGAAAGAATTATTGTATGATTGTTCTGCTCTCCAAAAACCACTAGATCAATGATGTGAATCAACTAACTGCAGTGCGGTCATAAAACATATGTTGGCCTTTGTGCACACAATACATCAAATACTGTACTGTATCAATCGTTTTTGTTCACACGATAAAATTACATCATAAGTCAACAACCAGAGAAACAGGATGAAAGATCACATTCTGCACAATACTTCAAAAAGAGTACAAACAAGGACAAGTAAAGGACTGGGTGATTAAGCTAAAACCATAATTTTTCAATATTTTCTACCAATACTTGACAGTATACTATATATATCGCAACTTTTGGCAGTTCCTTCCTGAGGCAGTAAGTGTATTGCATTATGTTTTTATTAACTTACTAGTAATAAAGTTTACTGTAGTTAAGTGGGCATCAGTTTTTTTCTGTAATTTTGGCAAAAATCTCATGTTATAAAAGACAAAGTGCAACGCACAGGCTATTTCAGGCAGTATTGGCTATGACTTGACGACAAATCCTAGACTAAGACTCTCTTCTTCGCTTCTCAAATACATAAAACATTAGCCTTTTTATTTATACATTGTTTCTGGTTTCTGCCCTACAAAACATATACCTTAATATTCATGTATTTTCTATTAATATGTATAAGATTTTTCTTCCCAATCAGAGGAACCACCATTTGGATCAAGGAGCTACTGCAAAGAATTAGATACGAAATATGAATTAAAACAGTTTAAAAATAAATTAAATAAAAAATCAATTCATATTTTCTCCCAGGATTCTTACACTATTAAGAAAAAAGATAATTAATAACTTTTTTATATGATTACTAATAATATAACAATTATAATATAATATAATATCCTAAAAAGTATTTATTACACTAAAAGTATATTTACCTACACATGTTTTTACATTTTTATTTATGAAAAATACCACATAGGGACTTTTGTCCATATTTTTTTGAGTGAGGATGCATCTCAAACTCAAAAGTCATGACAAAAGGAAGTAATGACAGAATCTTTAGGAAACTTAAAGGGGTCATATGATGGTATATACACATAATTTTGTGTATTTGGTTTAATGCAATGTCTTTATGTGGTTTTAGGTTTTAAAAAAAGTCATTATTTTACACATACCGTACATTATTGTTGCTGAAACAGATTGATTTCTACAAAGCTCATCTTTCTGAAAAGCGCGGTGCGCTCTGATTGGCCAGCGATCCAGTGCATTATGATTGGCCAGAATACCTTAAGCATGTGATGGAAATGTCACGCCCCTTACCATATTTGGAACATCAGCTCCCTTATCAATTCATGCCCAAATCTGATCCAGATGACCAAGCTGATCGATCAACTTTGCCAGTCCGACTGGACCAGAACATATCAGATTGGTAAGGTTTATTTCATTGACAACATAATTACGGATTATAATGACTTATACTGTCTTTTTACGCACCGCGATAGGGGGGTGGGAACACTATGTAAATAGAGCCCGACCGATAAAGGATTTTGAAGGCCTATACCGATACAAATATTTTTCTAGTTTTAAAATCCGATATTCCGATATATCGGCCGATATTTGTTAATTTTTTTATTTCAGAAAGGTGCAACAAAACATTAACAGATTTCCCTACCATTAGTTATTTGTAGTTATTTATGAGTTTTAACTAAAATAATGATGATGCATTTTAAAAAGAAACTTGTTTCTTTTTTTGTCACAACAAAACAGACTGATGATAGTGGCATTAGCTAACTTTGTGGTTAGCTAGTCTATGATAACCCAATAATTTAGCAATGGTTTAGCAATATTTTCAATATAACAGACCAAGGAGAGATGATACGTCTCATTACCATAACTGTCACGCGCTATTAAAGAAATACTTCAGTCACATTGTCAAAAGTTAAAAGGACAGTCAGTCAACTAGGTAACAACATAACGTAACTATTACTAGCTAATTCCGCTTCACTCTCTGCTTTTTTAACAGCAGGAAAACTGGACATGATAGTCACAAATTTTGTCATGCTTATTTGAGCTAAGAGAACTGATGGGTATTTTCTTTTAATTGTTATTCAAGCAATGTATGTATCCTGACCAACTCAACGAGTGTTGCCAACAGGAACGGTGTAGAGTGCCCTCTGGTGGACAAACTATACAACTTCAACACTCATGACATGGTTCAAGCGTGTTTCGTCCGTTTTTATTTTATTTTTTAAATATTCATTTATCGCCATTATAACTGCAGATACCGATAGTTTGGAAAATGCCTAATATCGGCCGATAATATCGGCCTGCCGATATATCGGTCTGGCTCTAATACTAATATCTGCATTTGTGATCGTAGAAACGACATACAAGCGCCACTCTATACTGGTCAAACTCGCGTTTGAATAGTCAGTAGCAAATTCTTAAAATATAAAAACATACTTACAGGCTGTGTCTGAGAGTCAGAAGCGCCAGAATATACTTGCAAAGATGGAATTGCCCCACTTTTTAGAATCACCCTTTGTGCACAGCTGGCCTTGTACTCTCCCAGGTTCTGGAAACAGTCCTACGAAAAATGTGCAGCACACTAGGGCTGGGCGATATATCGAATATGTACGATGTATCGTTATGTTTTTTGAAACGATATGGAATGAGGCAATACCGTTTATATCGATACAGTAGTTTGATATGAGCACATCTGAAAAATAGCGGAGGTTGCAGTGTGAGCTGCTGCAGTGAAAGTAGCTAGGCTACGTAGTACAATTTGTCCTAAACATGACGCAAGCTTATATTAATTGCGTCAAAATCACTTTGATATAGTTAACAAGTTTAAGGCAGCTTGCCGCCCTGTCAAATGCTCTGACAGACACTGTTGCTGACTGACAGACTTGCGCTGTTTAATGCGTTTGAGATGTGGTGCTTTCCTCAGTGCTCAACTTACATTTCACATATTCTCCATCTGTAAATGTTAGAAAGTAAAGCAAATATGTCCATTTCACAACAAATATGTCCATGTCAGAAGAGGACGAGCTTCTGCAAGTGAATCTCCGCTAAAATTCATGCTTCCTTGAACGAGCGCCGGCGCGCGCATGCACGTGAATAGTACTACGTAGTACGCAACAATTCTGACTAAAATAAACATATTGCTAAAATATTTGTTGTTGGAGAAAATAAATGTGCCATATGTGGAATTTTAAACCTACAAGTATATATTTTTAATGAAAGTGAAAGTGATTATAATGGGGTAATCAAATGCAGGCTAATATAATTAGTTTGTGCTTTTGTTTTTGTTTTTATTTTCATTTTTAGTTTAGCTTTTAGTCAATATAAAAACAAAAGCTTTTTGCACATAATATATTGCATAGCCTATATTATATTTGTTTCCATATCCTTCAATATCAACATTGTTTGTAGGATATCATTGGGCCGAATGTGAATATACTGTATATATATACATATATATATATATATATATATATTATTATTATTTTTTTTAATATAAAGATTTTCTTTATCTAAATAGAAAACGTAGAAAGTACCGAGATATATATCGTATATCGCCATTTGACCAAAAAATATCGAGATATGATTTTTTGGCCATATCGCCCAGCCCTACAGCACACAGTCGAGTATTTTGGTTGTACTGTCCTGGAACAGTGTGGTAAATAAAGCTTAACCACTGTTTTCTAAATGTGTCCTCTTTCGAAAGGCCAATTAGTAGTAGTTTGGCTTTCACAACCAAAAGTAAGTAGTTTGGCTTTCACAACCAAAAAAAAAACAGTGTCTCCACGACATGGCAGCGGCGGTGGCAAAAATAATACAGCGGGAATAAAATTTATGGGGGCATGTTTGAACGAAGCGGTTTAGGAAGGCGTAGCTGAGCCTTAACTTTTACAAAAAGTATCTCTTTGGGTTTGAGACTTTGAGCTCTGAAACTCTTCAGATCTTATACATTCGCAAACAGTTATACAACACATATAAAGAAAAAGGAAAACAAGAAATCGCATTATATAACCCCTTTAATGGCCAAAAAACGCACAATAACTTCAATCTTCCTTCAATATACAATATATATTTCATCTAGACCTAGACTAGGACATATTCCAGGTAGTGTAGCTCTAGATCCAGTGAGATCAGCCAATCTGGTGAGGGAAATATGGGCGCCAGAGGTTGAAAAATGCACAAGGCTTCCGGGATTCACTGAGCTCAGAACAGCTGAGTCCTGTTTAATCTCCATCTCTCCTTTTTAAAACCCACTCAGCTTCAAAATGGCCACCAAAGCGACGGGAATCGGAAAAGCTGAGGTATCCTGTCTTATATCATTACTGCTCTGTGGCACTTAGTCTTAAAAGACTGGTGATCTCTCACATTAACTGCACGTCCCCTCGAGTGACTAAACACCATTCAGTTTGTAAATCACACCAATTGACAAGCAGAAAACAAAATCTTCCCGTCCCGCACACTGCTGAATACCTATGGGTGACAATTATATACATAAATCAACTGAAAAGACAAATGCACACTGATTTCCTGACAGTAGTGATCGAAGAAGACCAGTCATGATAATGGCCAATGTAACTTCATTAACACACAGACCTACATACATTTCACTTACGACTGCAAGCCATAATGTCATTATGATTTCATTTGCTGATAATAGAAAGAAAACTAGTTTAACCACTGCAGGAATCCATCAGCTGAACTGTCAGTGACAACTTTGCCCCGAGACTAAAGCATGAATAGGAAGGCATCAACAGAAATGTAAATAGCAAAAGTAGGACTTGCAGTAATGGTCTCCAAGAGGAGACACTGCGGTAAGACGTTGAGTCAAAATGATAACTTAACGCCTGTGTGAAGTGATCGAATATACATTAAAAATTTAGTAAAATACACAAACACACACATACTGCTGACCAGAAAATAAAATTGATGTTTGAATTTAAATAGGCAAATGTGTAAGAGTCTGTGATTGGATCATTATGTTTCTAGCATGTTATACTGTATGTTGGGGAACAGTTCTTCAGACCCTAATTGATGGAGTGTGTAGCTTTTTATTTCTTTAAACAACCATGTAGGATGACACATGGCCATATTTCAGGATGACAAGTCGAGATTCATCAGGGTCAAATTGTGAAAGTCCAGAGTTCAGAATTGGGATGTGCTGGAGGAAACTTTACAAGTGCTTGACTCTTGCATTGTCAATCCAAGATCTTGAACATATGTATATGAAGAGTTCAGATGCAAAAGCCTCTAAATGCCATTTGAAATTTTCTTCTTTAATGATGATTTTTATCAAACTTGTATATTTAAGTTCAGTAATTTCACTTAAATGGCAAGTGAAATTACTGAACTTAAATATACAAGTTTGATAAAAATCATCATTAAAGAAGAAAATTTCAAATTGCATTTAGAGGCTTTTGCATCTGAACTCTTCATATATAGTCACTTGACCTACTACAGTCTTTTATTGACATTGATGAACATGTCAGCCTTCCTGGATAAATTCTCTTGGACACCACTGAGAAACTGGTAAATGTTTCAGAAAGCTCAACACTACAGGTCTCGGATGAATTTACCTGAAACATCCTGATAAAGGCGACAGATGCACATCCGCTGTGTGAAATCCTTGCAGACCATGTACAGGATGTTGAGTAAATGAATGTGCAGCTTTATCGCTTTATCTTTTGTCTGTGTTATCACTGTGTGTTATTGCTGCACAAAAGTGCAAGAGTGGAAGGCAGGCCACTCAAGGGTCAATTTGAACAGCAGCAAAAAATTGCGTGCTCTGACCAGTGACCTTCCCATACATTGAATAAATCTCTGCCAGGTATTGTCACATCCAAATCCCTCACACTGCCAGATTCAATCCACCTAGATCATAATCTGTCCACCCCAATTGGCTCCAACAGGAGATTCTGTCTCAGAAAAACACAATCCACCACATTCAAAAACAGCTTTTATTCCCCCGGCAAAAAACAAAGAACTGACCGCCTTAAGCAGTTGTGCTTATTATGATTATCTTCCCTCTAATACATTGGACTAATAGGCTTTGTGGCTATAATTTTCACACTCCCCTGCTCATAATAATACAGCAAATGTCACTCGCTTAGCATTTATAACAGCATACGGCTGTTTATTGGATTGGAAAATGTGTGAAGTTATTCCATGTAATGTTTAGTTGTATTTGTCTTATAGTGCATCATATTAACTTATTCAACATGTTGTGCTGTTTTATGGCTTTTGACTTCATAAGATCCACTCTTTAGAATGCTGTTATGCTGTGAATGCAGAATTTAAATGGCTAAGCAACATGTACACTGAATTACTATTTGCAAAATATGAAATCAATTCATTATTTAAAAAAAAAAATCCGCTAAAATAATTTAAATATGGTTGTTAATATATTTTTAAAAATTATATTAAAAAATAAATACAATTTATTTTTAAATAAAAATAAAATATTTGTTGATATATTAAAAAATAAAATACAAATTATAAAAAATATGTCCCATAGTAAAGGTACTTTGGCATGGGCTATACTATAGTACTGAATAACTACTATACTCATTTTAAGGGTGAATAACTACTATACTGACTTTTTCGTTCGTAAAAGTTTGTAATTCACGATTTGAGAGATTTTATTGCAGGATAACAATACAGTATATATCGCCATCGCCTTCTTACAGTGCGTTCACACCAGACGCGAATAGCTCGTCAAATTCGCGGCTAACGCATCTGGTTATACGCGTGAACACTTTTAATCCATTTGCGCGTCAAAAGCGAAATTGATACGTGTAAAAACAAAAGTTTAAAGCGAAATTTACGCACGTCACGCACGTCAGAATCAAAATCCTTTGGTGGCCATCTTTTTTATGTTTATCGAGCATTCAGCCAGACAGTCACCGCTCTGTATTTGCTCTGGAGAGCTAGGGGATCATCGTCGCCGTATGTGTCCACCGGACCCTTCAGAGGTGAACCGTTGGCCGTGTTTCACCATTTGAATGCACAAATAGCACTAACTAAATCATTCGCGCTTAACGCTCAATTCGCTCAATTCGCGCGTCAAGGCGTATTTGCATCTACGCCTCATTCGCACCGCAGGAATTTTTTACGCGTGTAACGCGTCTTTCCATTGACTTAACATTGAAATCATTCGCGTCCGGTGTGAACGCACCTTTAGAGAGTCAGCTTTCTGTGTGTGCACTTTGGCAGTATGAACACTAATTATATGAAGTGTCAATAGTGTTATTTATTTACATAACTGCGGTATACACGATTTAGCACAATCTCTAACAATAGACATTTTATACCCTGGTAGCGATATATGCCGTCATACCGCCCAGCCCAAACTCATTTACTATAGTATTCTATGGTACCTTGGTTTACCATAGTATTTTCTTGTTAGTTATAATTACATATATATAATAATGCATTGGCACACATGCTCCAGATAAGTTGAGCTATGGTCCTTGTTGGAGATCCAGGTCTGCCTTCTGTACCCGTTTCCCTTTTCTTCCCACAAATTCTCCGTCGCCTCTGTCAATAAAAATAGCACAATCCCCCAAA